AACTTGACTGGGATACCTAGACATTTGCCAAACATTATTCTGGGTGTGTCTGCCACGGTGTTTCTGATGAGATTAACATTTGAATCCATAGACCGAGGAAAGCAGATTGCCCTCCCCAGCGCAGGTGGCATTATCCAATCAACTGAAGGCCTGACTAGAATCACAAGGCGATACCCTTTTCTTTCTTGTAACGTGGTATCATGCACATTTCATCATATCATGAACTACCTTTCTGCTTTCAGTTTCTATGACTTTGACTAGCTATTTCATATGAGTAGAATATGCAGTATTGACTGTCCTTTTGCAATTTTTTTTTAAAGGTTTTATTTATTTATTTGAGAGCGAGAGAATGAGATAGAGAGAGTATGAGAGGGGGGAGGATCAGAGGGAGAAACAGACTCCCTGCTGAGCAGGGAGCCCGATGCAGGACTCGATCCTGAGACTCCAGGATCATGACCTGAGCTGAAGGCAGTCGCTTAACCGACTGAGCCACGCAGGCGCCCCTGCAATTGTTTTATTTCACATAGGATAATGTTCTCGAGTTTCATCCACGTTGTAGTGTGTGACAGAGTTTCCCTTTTTAAAGGCTGCATAATATTCCACTGTATGTATATACCACATTTCCTTTATCCATTCATCTGTCAATGGATGTTTTGGTTGCTTCTATCTCTTGGCTATTGTAAATAATGAAGCAGTGAACATGGGTGTGCAAATATCTCTGAGATCCTGCTTTGAGTTCTTTTGAATGACATTGTATTTGTAATGTGCTTTTATATACCCACTCTTACCTGGCCATCCCACTAGGTGCTCTTCTACATTTGTTTGCTTTTTCTAAACACAAGTGCTGCAATTGTACTCAGTCAGGGCCATGGATTCTGATGAACTATATCCCTGTGGGACCTCAGAATGCAAGCCTCGGCACCAAGCACCTGACAAACACACAATGTTAGAAGGAAAAGATAAACCAATTTGTGTAACATTATAAAATGAGATACCTAACTTTGTGTGAGGAATGAAACCATTTAAGATGAGCTCATTTACCTTGCCTCCACTGTAAAATTGCCTTCTCCTTGATTTTTGTCTTCATGTCAGAAGAAAACCCTTTCAGAGTTAGCTAACCTTCTTCCTATGATCATATGGCAATCATCTCCATTCCCATCTTCCCCTTTCTTGGCTTTACTGTTGGAGGGTAGTAATAAGAACTAACCTTTATTGGGTACTTACTCCTATCAGGCACTGGTCCAAGCTCTTTTGTATGTTAACTCATTTAATCCTCACAAAAGCCCATGAAGACCTCCTATTTTTATCTCCATTTTGCCAATAAGAAACTGAGGCACTGAGAGATTAAGTGACTTTTCCAAGGATATTCAGGTATATAAAGATATAGGCCAGGGCTTATGGCAGACAGGATGGAGGTGACCTTAGGGCAGCACTTGGAAGACACAATGAAGAATCTATCCATTGTTGGGGTCCTGTGCACAGATTTACAAGGAGTTGATCTGGGCTGCCATGGGCCCTGTCAGATGAGCATGCTGGAGTGATATCTGTTCTAGCCCAGCAAGCAGCTAAGTTAACCTCAGACCCCACTGACATTCCTGTGGTTGTCAAGAATCAGATAATGTAACATTTTGATCCAGGAACATGACAGCATCATAGTAGCAGTGCACAAAATGGCCTGTTGACATCTCATATCAGTTCTCCAGCAGCCTGTCATAGGGGTTCAATCCTACCTATGTTAATTATCTTATAGAACTATGAAAGTTCCAGGGCGCCTGGGTGGCTCAGTCGGTAAGCGTCTGCCTTCGGCTCAGGTCATGATCCCAGAGTCCTGGGATCGAGCCCCGCATCGGGCTCCCTGCTCAGCGGGGAGCCTGCTTCTCC